CTCCCTTCCCCCCCCCCTCCTGCTGCTGGTCTTCCAGAGGCTCTTCCTCCTCCGTCCCCTCCTGCTGCCGGTCTTCCAGAGGCTCCTGGTGTTTGATCATCTGTCTCAGGTGGTCCTGCAGAAACATGCAAGCCGTTCCAAAGATAGCACCATGTGTCTAACATCTTTATCTTTGTAGTACAACACTAACATCCTCCTGCCATGCCCCCCTCTGTTATGGAGTTCCCCAGGAGTCTATAATGGGTCACATTTTATTTAGGGTGCTTACACACCTTAATTCATTTGCTTTGGTCCGAATCAGTTGACGAGTTTGTAAACATGTAGCAATGTCTCCTTGGTTCGGTTTCGTTTCACACACAGAAAAATCCAAGCGCACCAAAACACGTCACATAAAACTACGTGAGAACATTCTCTCCGCTTATTGGTCAGATGTGTCTGCCACGAGAACAGAAAAAGTAAATAAAGTCCACGTTTCTGTGACGAGAGAGGATGGAGGTCAACATACGCGAGTTGGGCCTCGCCCTGGTTATTTTGTATTACGCTACTTGCATTTACCACTTAAACCAAGTCGCACAGTTTGAAAATGAAGCACGGTTACGGCTGGAAAAGAATGTATTGATGCATTGGAGTCGCCGAAGATGCATATCCAGGCAATACAGGAGGCAGCGTGCGTGGATATTATTGAACTGTCATATGTTAATCAGTCGAAGATATTACCGAAGATCCATCAGGTATGTATATTGCCATCCAAATTTTGAAAGTTACAAAAAGTCAATTGCTCGATATGAACCTCGCATCTCCTTGCAATGATTTATTAAGATCTTAAGTAATTAAGTCAATCGTGTGATTCACGGCCTTTGGTCCCGTTTTGGTTCAGTACGCGTTCTCACCAGGAGGACCGCACCAGAGTTCGCTAGATGATGCGGATCGAGACCACCTCATTTTGGGGGTCTCGGTGCGGTTGTTTTGGTTCGCACTCGAGTGCGATTACCGTGTTCACACCAGACAAAACGAACCGCACCAAGAGGAAAAACGAACTCTAGTTTGATCCAATCAAACTAAATGCTGTAGGTGTGAAAGCACCCTTATACTCACGCCCCAGTGTTTAGGTTTCTGCCTACCTGTTGTTGTTTTGTGTCCGTCTCTTGTCGATGTGGATTCATGTCTATTTGTCGTTCTTGTTGTGGTTTTTGTTGTAATGCAGGTTTCTCCCACCCCACTTTGGGAGTGGAGATGTAGATTTTATACTGGATGCAGTGGCCAGTGCCATTCTCGTCCACAGTGTGACTGATGGGAGTGATGAGGTACTTCCCGATCCAGAATGGATTATCTAGCTGGTTCTGAGCCATTGCCTCACACAGCTTCATCAATATGTGGTTTCGGTTGGCGTCGCTCTCCCACTTACACTCTGCCAAGATGATGAGTCGCTTCGATGGCTTGGTGGGAATCTCGGGGGGAGGACTCGGAGGCTGGCTGATGGGAGTAGGCTGGATTGGTTCATCTACTGAAGAAAATAAGATGAATCACTTTTTATTCACAAATAAACATCAGAAAAGACAGCAGACCTTGATGCCTCCAGAGAAAAGTGTCATAAAGCCTATATTCGGGAAAGTCTGATAAAGGAAGTTAAAATGATCTGCCTCAGATACCCTGGACACTGATCCTCCCAGCTAGTTGACAGATGCAAAAGCACCACAAAAGGACTACAAACATATGCTGTTTTATAATCTGTCCACACTTGGACCCAGTTAGGTAGCAGCAAACTGAGAATGGATTATAGCGTTACTCTACTTTTGACCTTTGTAAATTACAGATGTTTTAAAAGTAAGACTTTGCCTCTGCTTTGTCAGACCTGCAGATAGCCTGCATTAGCTTCAAACGATTTTTATGAAGCAGACTGATCCTGGTTCTGTTTGTTAGGTTCATTCAATACAGATTTTTCACAAGGTCTTCTGTGCAGGGTGTGATGGGAGGGTGGAGAAGGAGTTGGTATCAGCAAACCTACCTGGAGGAGGACTGGAGGGTCTAGTCGTTGCTTCCATCAGTGTCAGGTCTCTCTGTTTCAATGATTTGAGCCGAACAGCTTTAGGCTTAACATGTTTAGCTGCCTCCTAAAGAACAAAAAATTTCACTGTCAGAAAATCTTCATTTCAGTTTATTTCCAGATGTTTTTAACAATGCTGTGTGGTTGTAAGAGCACGGCTCCTCCTTGTCTGGCCCCTAACAGCGCTAACAGTCCCTCCTAACTGAAATGGCACCTTCTGATTAAGTTAGGGTTGAGATGGGCCTTTTGACTAATGTCTCTATAGTGTCTGTTTTCTATAAACTCATGTTTGCTTATCATCACTAAACCAATGAATGCCAGATGACTGTCTACATCGAAGTAGCAGAGGTGTGATATTTAACGCGACATCCAGCATGATGTAAATCACACGTCAGAAACAGGAGGCATACAGGCCATGCTTTCATAAGAGCAGTGGATGATGTGCTTTTGCTCATTTACAACACGATCTGGACTCAGGCAAAGTTGTTGTGCATCATTAAAGCATGTTAACACAAAATCAAAGTCACAGATTCAAGGATTAAAACCCCCAGTGGCATCACATAAATAACATGTCAACTAGAATTACAGCTTTACAGTTGTATGACTCGGCTGGGAATGGGAGACGTAACGTCACGGTGACCACCAAAATACAATTCTTTCATTCTTGAGTCCAGGTGGACATTTGTGCCAAATTTGAAAAACAGAGGTGCAATACTGTGGAAATGTCCCGTCAGGTGAAACATTTTACCTCAGCTGTTGCCACAACTGTTCTCTAGTATAAGTGGGTTTTTACCTTTTGTTTCTGGGTCTTTCTCATTCCGCTGTAACCTCTGACCCTTGCACAGCTGCTGTTGTTCTCTCGGCTCATCTGGAAACAAACATAGAAAACTCAGCACAGCCGAGTGTTTTGCTGCACAGACTCCTCCTCTGGCAGATGGTGAGGTTTGTGTATTTCATTTCACTGCTGTTCTGTCTGTTAGGGATGGGCAATGATTTTCAAATAGTCATAAAAAAAATATTTCACCATTTCATGCTAGTATGGTTTTGTCTTTAAAAACAAAGAGCCACTGGTTTCCCTTACTTTTACCAGCACCTGGAAATAAGGCGATAACAAGATCAGTATGTCATTTTACTACAGTGCCAAACACCAACAGGAGAAACATGCAGAGACCACCGCCATCAAAAAGTTCTTTTGAAGTTTGACGGCATCTGATCAACCGAGGTATACGGTCCCATCATGAAAAAAAATGCCCACCCCTACTATCTACAGACGTGGCTGAGCGTGTTGGTACCTTCCACTTGAAAGCAAAGATCCATTTTCTCTGATAAGAGCTAAAACTGACAACAGAAATTGTCATCCACTGCTCTCTAGTCCATCTTTAATATAAATTACAAGATGGGCTTCATTTTCCTTGTAGCATATTATTTTAAATAACACAACCAATGAAAAGTGACATAAGTGTTGGGACTGTATCCTGCTCCAGTTCTCTCATCTTTGATGTGACTCTCAGTCTTCCACAGATGTTCAAGCTGGACTTGCATCAGGAGTCTGAGCTTTAGATGCTCCAGTGTTTCCTTCCCATCAGTCTCTGTGCTTTCAGATGTTCTGGCTCATTCTCCTGCTGAGGACCATGAGCTGCAACTAAGACAGAGGTTCTGACTCTGGACACTGTTTCTCTGCAGAACACCTCAATCACCTTCCGGTTTGATGGAGGACACAGCACAGCTGAGCCTCCTCCGTGTCCCACAGTGGGGGTGCTGCTGTCCTCTGTGGAGACTTCAGTGATTCTCCTGTGAACGCTGAGCTGATGTGATGAAACAGCTTCACCTTTCTCCACTGAAACTGGCCGAATGACTGATTATCAGACCGAAGACACCTGTGATCCCAGCTGGAGACAAATATCACTACAAGAGAATATATGAGAAGAACTCAGCTCTTTTCATACTTTCTTGGCTTCATTCTAAATCAAAGGCTGCAGGTATGACGACAGCAACAAGAGCGAGTTAAGGGAAACCCTTTTCAGAGAGAACACAGTGTTTCTTCAGCGAGGTGGAAGGGAACCAACACTTTGAGCCACGTCCATGTACTTACGAGATCTAAAAGGCATGACTATGTGATTGTATGTGACAAACTGTGAGTTGTTACACTGGAGCGGAGTAGGGAGGCTGGTTCAGGCACATAGACTGGATCTGGATCCGAGTCTCTACCATCCCTCTTCCACAGAGTCCGGACCTGCTCAGTAGGCTGGGTAACACTGTCCACCTCTTTGAGAACTACAAATCAAACAAAGCAGAAGAGAGCAGTGAGATCACCTTCAGAGGCAGAGGCTTTTCTGCAGTTTTACCTGACACCAAAATTCCTCTGAGAGTTGTCCTCCACCTGCATCATCACACTGAAGGTACTGTTGGTGGCGTACTTACTATAGGCCATCTTCATCCTCCTCTTCCTCCTGCTCTTCTTGTTGTTTTCCTGGTGGGAGGAGCTGGAGTCGGAGCCATCCAGGTTCTTGAGGAGGACTACCTTCTGTTTAAGGCAGCTGCAGCCGAATATGCAACGAAGGCGGCCACAGTGGCTGATCCTGGAGCAGTGCAACAGACTGGAGCAGATGCAGCCAAGCCGGCAGAAGTCATTCAAACAAGGGGGAGCCCGTCTCTGCATCAGCCTGATGGGAGCAGTCGGGTTCTCGCTGACAAAGCCCTGAGGAGGATCCAGTCGGTTACAACACCTGGACTGTGACAGGTACTGTGGGGGCTGAATTCAAATGTTTGTCAAACATTTACAAAGCAACTTGACACCTGAAAGTCAAAACATCCTGAGGCCAACAGCAGCTCGAGTTTTGGTGGGGACACACATGACAACTGGCTGAAACCTACAAAGACCAGACAGGTCACACTTAATGACTGGTTGTGCCAACCTGTGCAGATTTTTAGTCCTTGACTAGGAAGAAGTACACACATTATGGCTGATTAAACACTGGGGACAACACAATGAATGGCTGATTGGAAACCACTGGTTTTCAGCTGTCCAGCGCACCTTCACACTAGTCCCTTTTGCTCACCATTGCTGAATCTTTACCATTTGTTTAGTGTACATCTCAATCGGCCAACACATTAGTGACGTCATTAGTCGCCAACATCAGTAAAAAATATAAAAAACAAACAAAACAAACAGAAAAACAACACTTCGAGACTGACAGCGACTGGATCTCAGAACTAAATGCAGCTATAAAAAGGTCCTCACCACCCTCTGAAGTTTTCGCCTTCTGTTTTGTTACAACGTTGAATCATGATTGAGGTCATTTGGCTTTTTCTGACAGTGATCGTATGAAAGTAAATGAATGAATGAATACCTGTTTTAATTTTAAATCTAAATTTTCTATACCGCTTAGTCCCAAACGCGAGAGGCAGGGTACACCCTGGACAGGTCACCAGTCTATCACAGGGTTGGCATGTAGACAAACAACCACACACACTCATACTCACACTCACTCCTAGGGTCAATGTAGAGCCACCATAAGCTGCATGTCTCTGGACTGTAGGAGGAAACTGGAGTACCCGTAGAGAACCCATGCAGGCACAGGGAGAACATGCAAGCTCCGCACAGAAAGGCCCCGGGTCGGCCAGGGCTCGAACCCGGAATCTTCTCGCTGTGAGGCAACAGCACTAACTACCGCACCACCGTGCTGCCACGCTACTTAAATATGTACAACAGAAAATAACTGGCTGCAATCACAGTGTGGAAGAAGTACTCAGGTGCTTTACTGAAGCAAAGCCGGTGTGAAAATACTGTTACATGAAAAATGCATATATGATTTGCTTAATGTGAATAATACTTTTTTAACTACACACTCCAGTCTTATATACATGTTAGGGACTGTTTTCAAATTAATATTCAAAATCAGATTTTTTTTAAGGGAACACTGTACCTGGTTTATTTATAAGAAGTATACACCTATAACAGATTCCAGTTGTTGTGCTACATTGTCAGTGATGATCGGTTTCTACAGCCGCCTCCACCTCTGGGCATCCAAACACCGAGGTTGCCTCTTTGCTGCGCTACAGCATCTTAGGCACTTTAGTGTTTACATTCTGTTTCTAAATGTGAAATAGCAGGAGTGTAAGTAGTTGTTTACAAAACTGAATTATTAGAACAGAGGGGAATAAAATAGCAATAAAAGCAAGTTGTGCTCTTGTCAGAAGGAAAAAAATCACTGGTGCCAGAATTTTAACTGCAGTCTCTGTGTTTATATTTATATTTTATATATTATATAGTATACAGTGTCTTTTCGTGTCATCAGTGACAAAAACCCCACATTAAACTGCTGATGATTCAATGTTGTAACAAAATCAAAGATGAAAACCTCCAAGTTGGCTGAAGACTTTTTATAGGCGCTGCAGTCATTACATATTGTACACTACATGATTTTATTTGCTGACTGTCGACACCAACTGACCCAGACTGGAACAGACTCGGTCCAACTGGGTCCGACCAGTAGTCATGTGCAATTTGCATTCATAATTAGCTCAACAGCCGTCCTGTGTGTCCCCACCTTTTAAAAAAAACTCCTAAAGGACTGTCAGTCCACATTTTAAGACCCCAAAGTTTTTGGTCTAAGAGTGATTCAAAAAGCATCTTAGAACTAAAAATTAAAAGTCTTAAATAGTCTGTGAGAGGTTCAAGACAGGCCAGAGGACCCTGAGACCTGCTCACAGTTTTGTACCACTAGCTTCTGGTAAGAATACAATAATGAACTTTAAATTCAGAAACAAGTCAAAACCTGAGAGATCTCAGTCTGTCAGAATTATTCCCCAAACCAGAACCGGTCTTCAGACCCTACTTTGATTGACATCAATTAATGACCAACTGCAGTTAAAACATATATAAAGGCAATTTCATGTAGCACATTGACTGTTGACTGCTGCACAGGCTGCTCCCATGCAGCATACATTCTCTTATTATATTCTGATATATTTTAATTATATTGTTGCATTTGCTGCTTAAAGTCCCTTAGATTTTGTGTTACTTATTTATCTACTTTATATTTCATTTGTATTTTGTGACATTCATGTGGACGGCAAAGTAAGAATTTCATTGCACAGGGAAACATGTTTCCTAACTGTACATATGACAAACACTTTGACTTGACTTGAAAATCAGAGCTGTATGTAGAATTGCCTGCCACATCACAGTCTGATCATTTGCTTTGTCAGCTGGAAAAATATCAGATGCTGATGGTGTTTGACACCAGATGCAATACTTCGTATTTTTCTTTGTTTCATGGCTGAAAACTGTGATGCAATTAATATTTGTAATGTCCAACAGTGTATCATCTATGGACTGCTAACTGCAGCTCCATATCTCCTGCTCTGGTGGGACAACATATTAGTCTAAACCTCACAAATGGGTGCGTCACCTCAGCCAAAACTGTACTCAAGACAGTTCAACTCAAATGTAACGGACATAATTTCATCTGGTGGTGATGTGGATATTTTCTGGTATCACTGTAAACATTTACAAAAATAATTCAAACTGCAAACTTGTCTTTAGGCCTCAAACATGCACTTTAGTGAGAAAGAACATTAAATCTGTTGCAACTAAAACTATTGGGCTAATTACTGATGAAGCATTGACAAATGAAAAGAATCTAACACATTCTACTAGATTTTTGTTGATCAGAGGATCATGTTCTGGTCTTGTTGCTGGCTTGGAATCATCACCCCATTAACAACAATCTCACCATTAGTGTGAAGAGTGAGGTCAGGGCAATGGTGGCCCGCTCCTCAGTGATGCTGGTCCTGGGTCGGCCCTCCCATACCACACCATCCTCCAGGTCCTTCTGTTTCAGCAGAGCTCGCGTCATCACCAGGCCACTCCCCTTCCTGCAGGTTTCATCACCCTGATCAGCGGTTCCCAGCTCAGAGTCCGACTCCAGAGGAGCCATGTCCCTTGAGATGCCTGGCGGGGGGGCTGTGGACCTGGATGGACTGAGGGTCTGGGATGAGGTCTTGGGTTTGAGTTTCTTCTTCTTCTTGAGGGCAGGGGTCTGAGGAGAGAGAGTTAAAGGTTCTGTATGGGCAAACTGGATCTTCAGGTGTTTTTTCTTTGACTTAGGAGGTTCAGTGACAGGTGCTGTGTGCACTGATGGAGGGGTGGCTGCTGGGGTATGGACTGCAGCCTGTTTAGGGACCAGGTTTCGTTCAAGTGTTGGAACTGGGGGAGGTGCACATTCTGGTCTGGGTTTGTTCTGTTTTGGACCTTTCTGCGTCTTCTCCTCTCCTTTGTTGGAGGTCTTCTTCTTTCTGAGGGAGAGTTTGGGTCTCTTGGAGGGGGGGACAAACCCAGATATGAGGTCTGAGGTAGGGAAGGTGATGGCCTCCTTCTTCAGGACGCTGTCCAGGGTCCGAACATAGCTGGTGCTCCTGGTGGGGAGCTCGTACAGTACCGGTTCCACCACAGGCTGAGAGAAACTGGCAGCTCGCTCATCAATCAGCTTCCCTTCACTTTCTAGATACTCGTCCAACATGTCACTGCAGAACGCAGACAGGTTTTTCTTAGGCAGATCTGAACTGGGACCAGCTGCAGGACATGAGATAAAACATAAAAAGAGACAAGACTGAATTTGACAAGTTGTTGATAGAGATGTTCTGAGCCAATTCTAAATATCATTTTGGGTCTGATCCAGGCATATTTTCATGGATCATTATCAGCTAAAATCCAGTCCTTTCCATTGTTGCCCACCAACTCTTAGACCCTCCCAGCGAGCCACACCATTGCACTGGGACCAGGTTTCTACCTCAGGAAACATGGGAGGCTGTCTGTTTCCAGCAAACAGCTCCACACGCTGAGGTCATCACTCTGTGTCACTGATCTCTGCTCTGTTCACACTAGTCCACTAGCTTATCACATTGCACAGAACGAGCTGAAGCTGTTTTCCGCTCACTCTCACTCGTGTAGCCAGCAATTCCCTCACTGTGTATTATTTGGACATAGTTTTCCCTTCTCCGAAGTGTTTCTGTAGGTTCCTCTGTGCACATTTTGTACACTGAGTTTCCAATGTGCGAGTAAATAGGTGTCCCGAGGCGCACGCCAGATGATACACGCAATACCCTTTTAATATGTGCCACTGTGTGCACGACCTGAATCATTGTGAATCTAAATTTGACCGGCACAGAATTGGATTTCTCAGACTGATTGGCTGTCACCGGTCATGGCCAATCAATCAATCAAACAGGCCAATTCTGTTCTCCCACAGACCGATTGGTGCATCTTTACCTTCAGGTTTGGCCAATGATGGAGTGGACGGAGCCTCTGGAGGAGTGAATTTCTCTCTCCAGCCTTTAATCTGGGTCACATCTGTCGTTTTTCCTGTTCTGGACACAAATGCTGCAGAAACACCTGGACAAGAAAAGCAGAATAAACAGGGAATGACTTAGAGGTGTCAATGGTAAACAAGCACAAACCGCAGCATTTCAAAAACGGTTAAAATGCCAAAATGGAAATGAGTAATATGTTCATTAGAGGAAGAAAGCTGATGCCAGGCTTAATTTCTTCCCTGCTTCGTTTACTTATTCCACTATGAAACGGCATACACCTTATTTTAGTACTTATTTTTATTTTATTGCTTCTTTCTACTTTGTTAAAATGTACTTTTTCCTCATTTGCATTTCTTAGTTTTTGCCATTTCCTTCTTTCATCTGCGGGTTTCTGTGCTTGACGTCTTCTCACTTTTTTATTTAGATACTTATATATTAGTTTGTTGTATTTTAAATATACAATACATAAAATACAGTTAGATCTACAACAATGCGTCAACTAAATGATTAGTTGCTCAACAGACAAGTCACACATTTGAATAGTTTTTAGTTTCAAGAAAAAAGCCTAAATGTGACAGTTCCAGTTTTCAGATTTGCAGCTTTTCTTTGTCTTGCATGACAATAAATTAATTACTTTTAGGTTTTTGACTCTTCATTGGATAAAACATGACATTTTATAACAGTGGATTTCAGGAAATTGTGATGAGCTTTTTCATTTTTCTGCTGTTTTGCAGACCATATGATTAACTGGAAAATAACTGGCAAGTTAATCTATAACAAATATAACCGTTAGTTGCAGTAATAAAATATTCTCATGGAAAATAACAGACAAAACCCCTGAAAATAAAACTAGTATGTTTACAGGCACATTAGTAGTTCACATGAAGCCAGCTAGTTACACAAACCAAAAACCTCAGGATGTCGTTTCCAAGCTCAGACCCGCAGCTCTTTTATGAAGGTATTTTATGAATATTTAGGCTGCAGTTCAGAGGCAGATCTCCAGCTCTGTGTCAGTGCGAAGGTACCAACCCTGAGACAGAGGCAGCTCCACAGAGACTCCTGGCGGAGGGATGGGCAGGCAGACTCCCAGATACTGCAGGTCTATGGCCAGAGTTGAATCCAGCAGGTTCATCTTGAGACCAACTGAGATTTACAGAGAGAGGAACAGACACACAGAGGTCATCAGTTTGTGTCTGGAGGAAATATCATTCATCTTTTGTTCGAGTTCACTCAGCTTGTACCTCTGGAAGCAGGGAGGGATTCTAACACACACACACACACACACACACACCTATTTAACCCCTCTTCCTGGTAACAACCACGGTACACTCCATTTTCATTCATTCATTCATTTTCTACTGCTGGGAGGAAGCCGGAGAGAACCCAGACAAGCACGAGGAGAACATGCAAACTCCACACAGAAAGGTGCCGGGTGGGGCCCGAACCCAGAACCTTCTCACTGTGAGGCAACGGTGCTAACCACTGCGCCACCGTGCCCTGCCCGGTACGCTCCTATTCTCCTGTAAAATGAATCCTCATTTAAATTACTTAAACCCATGCCTTGGATTTTAAAGTGGATCAGAATTTCTTCTTTTATTTTATCAGAGCGGATCTTGACTTTTGTGTGAAAATGGAGGAAGACAAACATGCTTCTGCTAATCTGGACAACAATAACAAAAAGCCTTCACACTCTGAAAGAAACCTCAAAAATATGTTCATTCTTAGCTTGGAAACAAAAAAAACATACAGTATTGTTCAAAATAATAGCAGTACAATGTGACTAACCAGAATAATCCAGGTTTTTAGTATATTTTTTATTGCTACATGGCAAACAAGTTACCAGTAGGTGCAGTAGATTCTCAGAAAGCAAACAAGACCCAGCATTCATGATATGCACGCTCTTAAGGCTGTGCAATTGGGCAATTAGTTGAAAGGGGTGTGTTAAAAAAAATAGCAGTGTGGCATTCAATCAGTGAGGTCATCAATTTTGTGAAATAACAGGTGTGAATCAGGTGGCCCCTATTTCAGGATGAAGCCAGCACTTGTTGAACATGCATTTGAAAGCCTGAGGAAAATGGGTCGTTCAAGACATTGTTCAGAAGAACAGCGTACTTTGATTAAAAAGTTGACTGGAGAGGGGAAAAACCTATAAAGAGGTGCAAAAAATGATAGG